CCTTTGTATAATTACCACTATGTAGCAAGCAATTTATATGTAATTTTGTTTATATACAGTGGAAATGTAAATAAAAAAAAAATGTTCGAGTTGTTAGTTTAAGAGTCACTTGCAACGATCTACTAATTTTATTTTTTTTTTTCACGTGTTCCTTATTAAGCAATATAGTTTTAGTTTGAAGGGAAATAAATGAAAGCATGATGAATTTGAAGAAACAAAAAAAAATCCTTGAAAACGATACTAAGAAGATTACCATTAAAACAGTATATTCCTTTAAATCCCTTGTCACAACCAATCGGACAACTTCCGTTGATGTGATGACATTTTGATTCCCCTCGACAATTACCACAAGACTGATTACAGTTCAATCCATACATATTGTCTGTGCATTCTAATTAGACATAAAAGGTATATTATAGATTGAAATATTTTGGTTAAAAAACACATTAGACATCAATATAATTTTCATATATATATATTTTACATATATTACATGGCTACAAGGGTAGCATACCAGAATATTTGCCCCATCGGTGGCAGGAAAGTCCTAAAGTGTTATGTCGCCCGATGGCATATATTTTGGTATTGCTGCCCGAGAATTAAGCCATGAAAATATGGTATATGACATTTTTAAACATTGAAATCCAAATCAATCATCGAACATATTTATTGAAGACTATGTACACATGTTCGTTGAGTATAATTCCGAAATATCCCGTCCGTTTCATGGCAAAACGTTTCCAGTATGCTAACACTTGAGTTGATAACCTTTTTTGTATTTAAGGAATTTTCTTCTTAATTAAATTATCTGATTCCGCTGAATTCAAATAAACAAATCGCAGACATCGTCCAGACTCATTTATTTTCGCCAAACTGTTTACATTTACTTACCAGCTGCCTCTGTGAATTTCGAAGCCGAGGTATTTAATATGCCGAATGATGGCTCGCGAGGGAACATAATTGTGTTCGGGAAGGCAATATAACTGTTTCCGGTAAAAATATAACCATATCTTATATGTAATTATACGTATATATGTGATATAATGGGAACACTTCTTCAAAAATGTTATTTATACCATTACTGCATTGAATTCCCTCCCAGCCTGGCTGACACCCTCCCTCACATTTTCCAGTTTTTCTGTCACATGTTTTGGGCACTCCGCAGTTGACACTACAGGTCTCATTACAATTATATCCAAAAGTTCCGTTAGAACATACTGTGTAGAAATAAGAATAATGTTGATCTGTGAACCTTTTTTTAATCAAATACAAATTGATTCTTGTTAGAAAAAATGAAACTATGGCATCATGAAACGCTAAGGGATAGGTATGTTCGAGTTGTTAGTTTAAGAGTCATTTGCAACGATCTACTAATTTTATTTTTTTTACACGTGTTCCTTATTAAGCAATATAGTTTTAGTTTGAAGGGAAAGAAATGAAAGCATGATGAATTTGAAGAAACAAAAAAAAGTCCTTGTAAACAATACTAAGAAGATTACCATTAAAACAGTATATTCCTTTAAATCCCTTGTCACATCCAATCGGACAACTTCCGTTGATGTGATGACATTTTGATTCCCCTCGACAATTACCACAAGACTGATTACAGTTCAATCCATACATATTGTCTGTGCATTCTAATTAGACATAAAAGGTATATTATAGATTGAAATATTTTGGTTAAAAAACACATTAGACATCAATATAATTTTCATATATATATATATATTTTACATATATTACATGGCTACAAGGGTAGCATACCAGAATATTTGCCCCATCGGTGGCAGGAAAGTCCTAAAGTGTTATGTCGCCCGATGGCATATATTTTGGTATTGCTGCCCGAGAATTAAGCCATGAAAATATGGTATATGACATTTTTAAACGTTGAAATCCAAATCGATCATCGAATATATTTATTGAAGACTATGTACACATGTTCGTTGAGTAGAATTCCGAAATATCCCGTCCGTTTCATGGCAAAACGTTTCCAGTATGCTAACACTTGAGCTGATAACCTTTTTTGTATTTAAGGAATTCTCTTCTTAATTAAATTATCTGATTCCGCTGAATTCAAATAAACAAATCGCAGACATCGTCCAGACTCATTTATTTTCGCCAAACTGTTTACGTTTACTTACCAGCTGCCTCTGTGAATTTCGAAGCCGAGGTATTTAATATGCCGAATGATGGCTCGCGAGGGAACATAATTGTGTTCGGGAAGGCAATATAATTGTTTCCGGTAAAAATATAACCATATCTTATATGTAATTATACGTATATATGTGATATAATGGGAACACTTCTTTAAAAATGTTATTTATACCATTACTGCATTGAATTCCCTCCCAGCCTGGCTGACACCCTCCCTCACATTTTCCAGTTTTTCTGTCACATGTTTTGGGCACTCCGCAGTTGACACTACAGGTCTCATTACAATTATATCCAAAAGTTCCGTTAGAACATACTGTGTAGAAATAAGAATAATGTTGATCTGTGAACCTTTTTTTAATCAAATACAAATTGATTCTTGTTAGAAAAAATGAAACTATGGCATCATGAAACGCTAAGGGATACGTATGTAAGATTGGGAAATATGCTAGCGGTTTTCTTATTTGACAAAAATAGGCTTCCCAATAATCTAAACAATCGAGATTTTAACTTTTTTTTTCGGAGTAAACAAGTCACAAAAGAAACTATCCAAATACGATCCTTTTCTTTTTTTTAAAAAATGGAATCAAATTCATTAACCTCAATGAAACTATGTAATATCATTTTTAGGAACATGTGAAATGAGCCTAGTAGATATGCTGAAGAAAATAAAAAAGAGATTCATATTGATTGTATTCCACATGATATAACTTAGAGAGGTTGATCATAGGTTACTTTAAGAGAAAACAATTTATTTATTGATGTCTTTAGAGAGTGTATTTTCTTTCTTTGATCAAAGACTGTCCTGAAAAGGAAGTTTTTCACTTATTATATTGATTTTATCTGTTTTTTTTTTAAATTTATTTAAAATTATAATATGCATTAAAATTTGATCAGACTTACGTGTTACGCATTTGTATCCATAAACGCCGACTTCACACCCGTATGTACAGATCCCGTTGACATGGTGACACGTACTGATAGTACAATTACCACATTTATTCTTGCACACTTCCCCATAGAAACCCTTATCACAGGCTGTAGTAAGAATAATATTCTTTTGTGTTAGTTGATGTAATGCTGTATTTCAATTTTGAGCATTGTTCAATCAAAGATTGTAAATATAATATAACATATTCATATCTAAGCATCTGGGTCAAAATCCTTTAATGAGAAAGTCAATAGAATAATAAAGTCTGTAAGATGTTAACTTAAATAATAATCAATATATATTTATGTTAGAATTATCTTGTAAATCAAAAGAAAAATGAAATATTGCACATTGTTTATCGCAGATTTGGCAATATTTCAGAGGACGAAAATGAAATAAAATAATGAAAAAAAAATATTCATATTCCAAAAAAGATAATTCATTTGTTTAGAAACATGAAAGATGCTATGTTACGTTAAAATTGATATATCCTGACTTTAGGAATATTTTTAAAAGTCCAATTCGATGACTTAAAAAAATAAAGTTGAGAAAGGTATACTAATTTTATTTTCAAAAAAGGAACTATTGAATTTATTTTCGTGTTATAAATATTGAAAATACCCACTACTGATGTTTTATACTAGTCTTATACTCTGTATTAAATTATAATAATAATAATAATAATAATGATAATAATAACAAGCATTCTGAGAGCATTGCATAAGCAATACATGTCCCCTACCGGGTTCCCCTTTTCTCTTTGGGGTGTCATTTTATTAGAGCCTGTGAATGAAAAATTGTTACTTAAATATGGACTTTTCAGTTGTTACTTGAATATGAATGAAATGTATGTCTTACAAAGAAAGACTCGTGACGTCTTTGAATGCCATTTGACACACACAAATGCTTTTGATCAGAACAGCTTATTTGCTTGAACAACAATGGTTGAACAACAAATTTATACCAGAAAAAATCAAACTTGATCTATATTTGTCTCTATAAAGGTATCCAGTAAGATTCAAATCATGGTGATCTTGTTTAGAACATGAATCCAGTAGTAGTACATTAATTTTGGGCATCACGAACCCTAATGTGAACCCAATTATTAAAAAAAATAAAAATACCACAATTCCTTCAGAAATAAATTAAGTAGAACGAAATGCAAACTTGATCTATAAGACTATAACTAATCAATTTATGAAAGCTATCCAGCAAGTTTCAAGAATATAAATTGAGTGCATCACGACATAAATGTAGTGCATCACGAACCCTATATTAACCCAACTATAAAATAAAAAAAATAAAAATACCATAATTCTTTCAAAAATCAATGAATCAGAACGAAATGCAAACTTGATCTTTAACTAATTAAGGTAAAGTCTCATACTTAAAACCAGCTAAATATCTGCGAGCGTTTAGGCCGTAATTCCGTAAAAAATCATTGAATCGGAACGATATTCAAACTTGATCTGTAACTCATCAAGATACACCCACGTACCAAAACTCAGCTCAATATCTGCCAGCGTTTAGAAAAATGTGTGGAAAACTAAGTGGGACAGACTGACAGACAGACGGGGACAGACAGACAGACAGACGGACAGACGGACGGACAGACAGACAGATGGACGGACAGACAGACAGACGGACGGACGGACAGACGCAGAGGAAACCTATAGTCCCCTCCGGTTTCACCGGTAGGGGACTAATAAACACTCCTCTTTCAGCATTTCAATAAAAATAATTAAGAAGGGACGGCATTAAAAAAAATGTATCAAAACCAAAAAAAAATATTACTCGTTTTTTGGCAATTTAAATTCATATCCAATCTTAAAATATGTTTGGCAAAAAGTTATGTTTTGAATGTAAGCCCAGACATTCAATATAATATAATTTTATCATTTTCTTTTCATTTACTTACGAAGTTCACATCGATGTCCTTTATACCCAGGTTTACAACCCTGACAAGCACCTGTTTCTATGTGACAATAACGACAGTTGTCAGGACAGGGAAGGGAACAATCCGGTCCATAATATCCTGTTTTATTACAACCTAAACGAAAAACAGTAGTATACTGAGAAAACATCAGGAACAATAACTTTAATAAATTGTGATTGTGAGCATTTGATTGATTGATTGATTGTATACTGTTTAACGTCCCTCTCCAGAATATTTCACTGATATGGAGACGTCACCACTGCCGGTGAAGGTGCAAATTTAGACCTATGCTCTGCACTTACGGCCTTTGAACAGGGAGGAATCTTTATCGTGACACACCTGCTGTGACTCGGGGCCTCGGTTTATACGGTCTCATCCGAAGGACCGCCCCATTTCGTCGCCTTTTACGACAAGCAAGGGGGTACTGAGGAACTATTCTAACCCGGATCCCCTTGGGGCTATTGAAAATAATGTATTATTCAGAAAATTCACAACCGTCCTTATCCGACTTAAATCAGGAGTAAAAATTTGTACAAAAAGAAATAATTTTTCCTATTTTGGATCATTATGTAAAACTTTTTTCATCGTCTCTTTAATAAAATGTATTGAAACAAAAAAAAAATAAGAAAACGAAACTTATTCAAGTTGTTCTATTTATATGAGAAGATAATGATAAAAGATTAAATCTCAATCACGAATGAGCATAGACATACGGTACAAATCTTGAATAAAATAGAGGGTATATCCTTCACACAAAAAATCACATCATAACGATTTGAAGAAAACAGTATGTTTAAACCTCAATTTTCGTAAAAAAAAATCTCATATCTCAAAATGTACTTTAGTTTATGTACCGATTTTTCTTCAGTGGCCTTAGAATGAGTTACTTAAAATGTACTACTATGTTTTAATTATTGATTTTCCTTTTGCAGATACGCAAGTATCTTTTATTGATACACCTGCGAATTTCACTATATCCAAGAGTTTTTTTTATAAAACCTACCGTATACTTCCACTTCACATAGTTCATTGAACGAATTGTCTGAAAGCTGACTACCATGTATTGGATTTTGTGGTCTTTCATTATAGTAGATGACGTATTGCCCATGTACAGGACATGTTGTGTTGAAGACAGCAGGTATTGTGGATCTGTTATACTTTGTGTCATGGAAACAGAGATGACCATCTTCTATGTTTGTTGTGTTTGATACATAGACATGAAATCCTAAAAATCTAGCGGTGTAGCCATTAGTAGCGTCTAAAAATTATAGATTAGCAGTATTAATAAAAATATTAAAAGAAATTTATCAATAAATCACATTTTATTTAATTCAAGTGTTGATTTATTTCATGTTTAACCTTTTAATATATTTATTCATTTTTACCTTTTTTCTTTAAATTAATAAATTAACTTCGCCATTTTTTTTTTGTTTTGGTCCCGAAAGGAATTCTGAAAAAAGTTCTTTTATTTTATTTTCTTCTCTCTCCGGGGTTAAATATGTCCGCAAGTGATCTCTGGAATAACTCACGCAATTTGATTTGGTAACATTTCCTTTTCTATAGATATAAAGGACGGGTATCATTTTGCATATAAATCTTCCATAAATAACCGTTTAGGTGAGTGAGATAAGTGATACCTTGAATTTTTACGGGTTGTTTATAAAATGCTTTTGAAATCAGATTAAAAGAAATTACAGGACCATCATCCCCTGAATTTTGTAGAGTTTTTAACGGTATATATTAACCCAAGCAAAAGTGACGTTGGTTTCCTTAAAAATGAGGAGCACTCCTCAAAAACACGGAATTATGAGAAATTGGTATGAAGTCATTGGAATATGCTGTACATGTATTCTCTCCCTATTCAATACCTTAATTTAAGTATATTGTGTACTTTAAAATATCTAGTTCCGTTTCATTAATTCTAAATATTTAAAGCGTACCAGAAATGTTTGGCAAACACACAGGAAACACATTTTTTAATGTAAAGTATAAATAGATGTAACGTAGAGATTTTAAAGTTGATGATTGATGATAGAATAATAAAGATTTCAGTTTCATTACTCCATGGACTATTATCCGTTCTGTAGTAAATCCTTATTCCGTGAATGCTGTGGATGGACGTCAAGTTAACCCACCAGGTTGCGTCTTTATATCCATCAGCTGATATAACACATTGTCCTCCAAATGCTGAGAGGTTAGTCTTCTGACCATCAACAGCATTACTGGACTCAAATGTAGAAGCTGGGTAATCTTTACTATAATATATGTGCGACTGGTGTGTTGGTTTATTCAAAGCTATGTTTTCTGAAAAGAGATGGAGAACCATATCATAAAAATAATGTTAGTCAATGTTCTTTCATGATTATGTTAGCAAACAAAATGTAGAATAATTTCCGGTTACATAAAAATAATGCATAAATGAATTTCATTAGCACTCTTTCTCAACTTAAAGCTGTTTAAAAATAAAATAATATGCTAAAATATTGCCTGGTTAAATACGTATTAAAAAGGAATCAGTAAACAGTATTTGGTATTAGAATGTGATGCAAGAACATCCCAAGAATCTTAAGCCACCTATTATTTTTTTTCAACAATACTGCACTCTCGAAAAACGGAGGACGGAATAAGTTTAAACGGAAGAAAAACTTATGCATGTTTGGCTGTAGAATGAAATACTTGTTTAGACGGCATAGATGTGTCGTCTTTTGCAGAATAAACACTGTAAATTGCATCAAGATGCTGATGAATATCGGTTTTTTTTTAGCTAAGCGGGCTATTCAACGGACCTCTCTACACATTAAACAACGTGATTTTTGCAGTAAAACAGGAACATGATTTTGTTATTGTATATTCTTTTTAACTTATTAATACATATAACGAACATACTTGTAATTTAATAAGACTATTTTTAATGTAACGAAAGCTCAAATCGTCTGCATTCTATGTACAGGTAAGCAAACAAATTTTACCTCTGGTGTTAAATGAAACAGCGTAATCTAGACATGGTGACCTAATTCGTTTCTCTATAGAGGAAACGATTATCCCTAATTTAGCGTTTGTACCATACTTGGTAGAATAAAAATAAAGTCCTTGTTGTCGTGAATGATGTAGAATAACCTCCTCGGTCTCAAAATGTTGTTTGAAATATAATGTTACATAAAAAATAATGCATAAATGAATTTCATTAGCACTCTTTCTCAACTTAAAGCTGTTTAAAAATAAAATAATATGCTAAAATATTGCCTGGTTAAATACGTATTAAAAAGGAATCAGTAAACAGTATTTGGTATTAGAATGTGATGCAAGAACATCCCAAGAATCTTAAGCCACCTATCATTTTTTTTCAACAATACTGCACTCTCGAAAAACGGAGGACGGAATAAGTTTAAACGGAAGAAAAAAAAATCCACATTATGGTATCTTTATTTGCTTTCTGTTTCTTTGTTCGTTCATTAAATAATATCAAGTAATGCATCAAATTATTTCAACAATTATGTTATTATGCGGAAACAAAATCAAAAACAAACCCACTGCAAATTCCTGGGAAAATTAAACATGTCGTTTGACTTTATAAAATAAACAATTGATTAAGACGAGATATTTAATTCCTACATTTCTCCTTTTAAGCCTTTAGTAATTTTTTTAAATTTACTTTCTATTTTGCATTGAACTTACCATATCCATAGCTACAACTAATTTCAATCATTATAAACCACAGCGATGTGCTGATGAACATCTTGACAGAAGGTTCCCTCAATTCAGGCAAGGACGTTGCATCACAACACAAAACGAAGACTTTAATGATAAATTTCCTGTTAAGTCGAATGATTCTTTTTTTCAATACTCTATCAATTGGTAATCATATCTCAGCAGTACAGTGTCTCAGTTGTTCCCTGTTGTATACTAAAAAAAGAAAGAGGAAGAATATTGCGATCGTATGAGTTGCTATTATATTTTCTCACTGAGAGCATCTTAAGGTTTCAAGACAATTGTTGAATGATAACCAACACAAAAGAATAAACTTGCTTTTAAAAGCTTGTACATTTAAGACATTGTTTTGTTGTTAGTTTCTTCTTTGTGGTTACCATTTGTAATAATGTATGTATTTGTTTGTCTGTTTTTTTTTTTTACCTCTGATGTTAAGAATTATCAAGAAATGAAGATAGAGTATAATAAAATTAAATAAAATATATAATAGGATGCTTATTATATTTATTATCAAAAAGAAATTAATTGTGGCTGAAATGCGTCATTTAATTGAATAAACATTGCATTTAATCTAAATGGCATGACCTGAGTTGCTAACGACACAATAACTTACATTAAAACGTATCAATCCGTTTGACGCAACGTTTAAAATATGAACAATTTGTAGGGGATTTTACACATGTAAAAATGGAGAAATTGCCTTGTTTTCTATACTATTCTATACTGAATTATGATTGAAGTTAAATGAAAGGGTGTGGATCAAATAACAATCAATGTTACGCTTGTATAACCTGGGTTGAAATTGTTTGTTTTTTTTTATAAACCGCTTTCCATACTTTTTTCATACCTGTGTTATTCCAATCAAACTTAAATTTGCTTTCAAAGAGTACCCTGGGGGAAAGGGTCATTTGTATAAAAAAAAAGATGGTCCGTTTGAAGTTGTCACAATCTTAATGTTTTCTTAAAATAATCATTATATTTATTTTTCAATTGAAGTATGTTGTTAAATTGATTCCTATGTAATACAAGTATATGTATATTTATATTAACTGTACTTAACATGACATCGCTGACATTCTTTTTAATTAATTCTTATTTTGAAACGTTGTTAAGAGTTACAAAATTTGGATGAGATGAAGTACTTAAACAGTGTCATTTGTTCACTATATCCAACAATCATAAACTGTGCATGTATACAGATAAAATTACTCTTTTTCCGAAATATATACATGTATAAGAAAAAAAAATCTGTTTCAACACAAGAGATTGTACACTTCTGAAAATATCTTTTTTATAAACTAGGAAGGAATACAATAAATGCAATGGTATATTTTTGTATGTTAAATTACATAACGCAGTTAAAACAGATACCTCTTTCAAATGAATAAGTGAATGCTAAGGAGGTACCAAAAGCGTAGCGAAAACAGGAAGAATAATGTCTAGTAGGCTTCTTAAACAATTCATATTTTAGGCTTATCAATATTATGAAGCTTTCAAACTATTAGAATATTCCTGTTGCACACTACTTAATTAAACAGGTACTTGCGTCTAATTAACTGTTCGCTAGCATTACATACAAATATAGGTTGTAATATAAGACTTTTATTTTAGTTTAAAAAAAAAATGTAATGCAATTAGTGTGTAAAACACATTTTGATTGGCTAATGTGCTTTGTTTAAGGCAGTAAAACGAGCATTAACTAGTGCTTTTCATGGTGACGTCATAAAAAAGCGACGCAAAAAAAAATGCTCCGTGAGGTATTTCATATGACAAAACTCAACAAAATAAGACGTAAACAACAAAGAAAATGCATAGATTGTATTAAAATGGGGATATCTACCTTCTAGTTTGGTATTTACGACCGATAATGCTGATTTATCGGTCGTAAACATCCATTTTACCGGCTGCGCTTACGCGTCGCAGGTAAAACTCGACCGTTAAATCAGCATTAACGGTCGCGATTGATTACCAAATAAGAAGATAGTTATTCTCCAAAAGGCAAAATTGACATGCATTAATATAATCTGATAAAAAAAAAAGATGAATAGATTCAACATACACAAATACAAAGTCTTCTTTTAATATGCTTTAATTTTAAGTCCAAGCATTTTTTTTATCATATTTCGAAACCAAACCATATATCATTTAATAATCAAGTTCTGCATCTTAAATCACAATGAAAAAGTCAATGCATGATATTTTCCTGTTGAATTCTGTTATAAAAGATAATGTCTTCATATGGATATTTGTCGATATTGACATCATATCACTTCTACATATAACGGATCCTAAATCTGATTACTCTATTAAGAAAGCCAAAATTCATTTAAGAAATATGATATCAGTTTTAGAGTTTCAATGGGATGTGACATGAAGTCGGTCACATGATCAAATTCTATAACATAATGATAAAAATAATGATTGGGTTTATATAGCGCTTTTCTAGCATAAATGCTACTCAAAGCGCTTTACAATCATTATTACCCCAGCAGACCTTAACAATCCAGAATCTTTCTCAGTGCAAGCTGCCGTAATCAGCGCTAGAACACTAACATTCTGACAATATCTTTCACTGTCTATAGCCAGGTACCCCTTTTACACTTGGGTGGAGTGAGGAAATTCGTGTAAAGTGCCTTTCCCAAGGACAGAACGTCGACTTGCCGCGGCCAGGATTCGAACTCACAACCTTTCGGTTTGAGTCCGGCACCTTAACCACTAGGCTACCGACGCCTGAAGGGCGTTACAGTAGATTTGATCACTTACCGACTTCATGTCACATCCCAATGAAACTCTAAAAAATGATATTTTATTTCTTATATTTATACTGTAAATTGGTTTAATTCCACGATGTTAAAATTTCACGATATCTCAAAAAGTACCATTTGCGATGGTTTTAATTTCACGCTGCGAGAAATTAATTCAAAATTTCTTATAGCAATTTAACATAATTAAAAACTAAAACTAACATTCACGATGGATTTAATTTCACGGAAAATTAATAAATCGCGAAGATAGCGAAATTAAAACCACTGCTTCCAGTCGCCCATTTCCTTTTTAGGCTATGCAACGTTCAGTTGCAATATTCTAAAAAAGCGTAAATTTTCAGAAAAATCAGATTCAAAATATCGAGAACCCCCGCTTTTGATAGCCCTGTACCTGAAGGAATTGCATCGGAATTCAACAAATGAAAACTGAGATCAAAATTTTCGGGGATATTTTGCAAAATCAGGTCTTTTTGTCTGTGAGACTCGTTGAATAGTTATAAGGTTAACAATTGAATAAAAAAATCATGCATTTCACTCGAATACACCGTTTCCATACAAGAATAAAAGGTTTGACAAAACTATCATACATTTTTCAGGGCATTGTTTCTACTATGCGTTTCTTTCTTTGAAGAGTATATAAAGCTATCAATGACATATTCTTAATAATACAATAACCCAAGGATAGAGTTCGACCATTTTTTGACAAGTTTTGTCTATGTTCCGTTAGGACAGAAATGTATTTATTTTAAATCACAGATAAATACTGTAAGAACAAAAGTCCAGAAGTCTAAAAGTACTTGCTTGAGTACATATTGTAGTTTAAGCAAATTTTTACAAGTGAGAATGAATTAAAAAAAATACATCTGCAGTTGACATAGACAGGGATCATTATATAAAGTAATGTGTAATTTTCTTTATTAACTGTAATGACCTAAGCAAAACTGTCAAATCAAAATTAACACATTTTTGGATTTGAGGTCATGACACCGGAAGTTTACTGCTAATACCAAGGGAAGTGTTTCTCTAGAAATGGTATATCTATAAGAATATCAATCCTTTGCCATGATAATAGCAACTAAAACATACTCATTAACCATGACAAAATGCACCACATTCAAGCTCTGCACTTCCTGTACCATCTGTATATAATTTTAGTACATGTGGAGTTATTCATACTTTCTCTGGAAAATAGGAAATTACATTAACTCTTCTGAAAGCTTAGACAACATTCATTTTATACATCCTTCTTCAGCTCAACTGATAACATTACATGATGGTGAGCTTTTGAGGCACCACTTATAGCATCGTAAAATCCACCATTAAATGCCTTACTGGATCTTATTGCTTTCCAACAAATAAGCACGTCTTCCTATGACGTTTGTGTAGATATATAGACAGGTAGAAATAGTCATAATAATGGAATGGGGATTCTAGAGAAATTTAACTTATTCTTAAACAATAGAATAGAGGAAAATATCAATTATGTCAAACTAGTAGATAACAAAGTCTCGAACAAATTTCAATACAAACAGTTAAGAAAATAAAAAAAAATACGGAAGAGTATCACGGAGCAAAATTTTAATCTCGTTTACCTTTACGTTTGGGACGGTGTAGCTGACAAAAACTTCAATAAATCAACTCACCTCTTCCCCGTATAAAACTTTATCAAATAATTCCTCATGATGATGAGAGGCGGCTGATATTAACTTCTTTTGACATAGAATTCATACTTGGACCATTGTAATGTGATCTAAATCTTTCACAAAACCCCTGATCTAATTCAAGTGCTGCAGTTTATTTGAATATGTTTCAGGACTTTTAATTACATCTTTCACATAAATTGGTTTTTTTTCCACATTTCCATAGGTCTGGTGAACGACGGTAATGATAATCAGTGCTGGGCAAGTTATGTCTTGGAGGTTTTGTTCTGGGACTTGCAACCGTGTTGCTCGGGGTCGGGGTCGGGGGGGGGACAAATAGGGGTACCTTATGATTGAAAAAAAAAATGTTGTTAAATACAATATTTATTCCCACAATTGCTTGATTTAGTTTACGTCTGAGGGTAAGAAGATGCCCGAGATCACAGTGACACTCAATGGTTACTTTGGCATTTTATGTAAACATAGTAATGGACTTTTACGAGAAGCACTGACTTTAACGGTTGACAGTTTACTTGTACATTTAAACATTCACATCTACGGAGGTACAGAATTGATAATGGAAAAGAAAACCTTTCTAGTGGTCATGATAATGGTGTTAGGGGCACTTGTATGAGAAAAACTGGATTTGATGGTAGGATGGTTGTCGTTTTCTTCCAGGACAACTTAACTGTGCTTGGAAATAGCCCGTTATTTTCGTTGAATTAAAGGTTGAGCTAAATTATTAAATCGTAAAAGAGCTTCCATACACTATCCGAGTGTGATATTAAT